GTTTAATCTGTTGTGAATCATATTTTAAGATAATTACTTTCTTTGTAACATATCATTTTGAAATATATATATATATATTGTCCAGTTTGTTTTAATACTCCGGGCATAGCCAGTGGTGAGCGTGCCCAGACAATGATATCCGTTTCATGGTTCGCGTTCTTCTATTAAAAAAAAAAAAAAAAGGCGATCGACACTTTGAAGCCATTGGTGCGTTATAGAAGTGACGGTCAGACAAGAGAATCGCAAGAGATGGCAATGTATGTTGTTTACAAGCTGCCTTCCCTCAGTTCAAAATCAAGGACGACTATGCACAGATAACCTCTTGTACCTTTGCTTGAAAATCGGAAACAAGCAAAAAATTTGTTCTGGTAATTTGCAAAATAGTTTTAAAGCTACGTATATTTGATGTATCGTTACCCGACTTTTGAAAGCATCCTCCAATTGTGTAGTTCATTACACAATCATTGCTAGTTAAATAAATGTTATTGTATGTGAATTAGTTGGATGATTCTTGATAATGTAATGAGTATAATAGTTGGTATAGGTTATTTTTATATCAGTTTGATGAGATAGCTTGTTTGATACTTTTGTAAGTTAATTATAAACCGAGAATTAATTACTGGACTGCTTTTAACTGACCAAAGAAGGGGTTGAACTGATAAATAGACAAGTGTCAAATAAGGACACTACTGAAGTAAAATGTAGTAGACATCAAAACTTCTTTTACTAGCGAGCACTCAAAGACATTTTCTTTTTTGAATTTTCCCCCAGTGGTTCAGTGATAAGTATGAGGGCTTACTCTGCTAGCACACGGGTTCTTATACTCATATTAATTTGTTTGTTTGTAGTTAAACACAAAGCTACACAATGGGCTATCTGTGCTGTGCAAATCACGAATATCAAAACCCGGTTTTTAGCGTTATAAGCTTTATACTCGTGATGGGCGCAGCACAGATAGCCAATGTTGTAAGTTTGTGCTTAACAACAAGAAGGAGTTTTGATATTTTCAGTTAATAATATTAAGAAATTCATAACATTCAGACTAGGGATGCATATGACTGAAGAAATAAGCAGTTATTCACAACAGTTATAGAACGGCTAGAATCAGACGCAGCGAATATTAAAATATTTTCGCTATATTTCAGTTGGCTGCTTGCCACCAGAAAGGAACAATAAACAAATCCCAATATTTGACTGTAACGTATTTTTGTGCGGAGTGCATTGTTGCGGCAATAGACCGCGAACCATGAACCCACGGATTCATAGTCCGAGTATGCTATCCATAAGGCCACAAGCGACTTACGTTCGACGATGAAAGTAAATTTTTAAAAGGGACTAATCGAATTTGGTTAGTGGCTAATGATTTGTTTTGTTATGAATTTCGCGCAAAGCTACACGATGGCTATCTGCGCTAGCCGTTCCTAATTTAGCAGTGTAAGACTAGAGGGTACTAGAGGGCAGCTAGTCATCACCGCCCACCGCCAACTCTTGGGCTACTCTTTTACCAACAAATAGTGGGATTGACCGTGACATTATAACGCCCACACGGCTGAAAGGGCGTGCATGTTTGGTGGAACTCTCAGATTGCGAGTCGAGCGCCCTAACCACCTGGCCATGCCGGCCCAATGACCCGTCAACATTTTTCGCAAATTCATCAGTGCATAAAATTCGTTAAGTTGCACAAAGAGAAACAAGAGAAAAGTCTTGCTTGAAATAAAAAATACTTTATACCCTCATATTATATATATATATATATGTATATATTCATTAAAACAAATTACATTGATTTTGATGAACTGGTGCCTGTTATCTGAATTAACGAACATTGCATATGATCGATAGCTAAATGACTTAAATAATTTACAAGAACATACCATAATCAGTTATTTATGTAACTCTTTTTTTGCCATCATTAGAAATCCTACACATGTACGAAAAGCATGTAACGTTCTAGATATAATGGTCTTCCACGTCCCATGACTAACTAAAATATAAAACCAAACAGTAATTTTCAAACAATCAAGAAACTGGATGCGCTAGGTAATCGAAATAACTTGTAATTTTTAATACATAAGTTAATAAACTTAATTAACAACTTACTTGAAAAAGGTTTATTCAGAAAAAAAAACAACAACAGGAGTTTGCTGTTGTATTGGCGCTTTGTAAAATAAACTGAAATAAATCAATTAGAAATTTAAATAATTTCAAGTTATAACGACTTCCCGAGTATTAGCCAAAGCATTCATAATTTATTACACGACTATTCTTGGTTATAGAATAAGCGAGAATACACATGTCAAGGCACGTGGAAACGGACAAACCCGCAGTGCGTTCGTGACCCAAGAAATCAAACTAGTATTTTTTTCATTTCATTCTGTCCACACACGGAACTAACTGTAATTATTAATTGTTTTCCTGTTTCAATTTGAGTTTCATTTCCTGACACAACGTTTTAACCACATTTTCCTGCGATGTAACAACATTAATAACAAACAAAGAGGTTGAGTACGTTATATTAAAACTATTTTGGAGTCTCACCACTTCATTACAGTCCAGGACCCCACATCCGCTCATACTCTATCTGATGACAGTGCATCTTGATAATAACCCTGTAGCGTAATTTTCATTGAAAAGATACTATCTTTATATTTGTTATATCCAAAGAACACCTCTACTCCGTGCGTACTTTTCATAAGCCATATAGTGTACGAAGACGACGGTTTCCGAACTTCCGTTTCAAGAATATGATAGCACAGAAATCCATAAGGGTTTCATTCTCTATAGATAAAGATATATATTTTTGTTTGTTAAACTTCTAACAATTTCTGTGCTCTACTCGTTGCTATTGACAGATTGTAGCACCATGAGTCTAATAACACTGACTGTTATTACAAAAAAGGTTGAATATAGAATATTCATCGAACTCTGATATATTTCATACATTTGTAACCTGTTGCCTTTGGTTGATTGTAGCAAAGTTCTTACCCTATAAGTCTGATTGTTATTACAAAAAAAAAGGCTGAATATGGAATCTACATACTATTCTGTTGTTTTTTGCATTATTAAATCGGGCAGAGATTAACTTGATGACAACTTTGTCTCTGTGAAAGATGTTACCAGAATATATTTTAAAATTTCTAAAAATGTCGAATTTAGTAAAAACGGACTTATCAAAGGATCAGTAATTTATTTTAATTTTATTTTTGTCTTCAGTTTTACCGAAATTAGGTGGTCGCCGCTTGGTCATTGTTTTTCACAGCTCTTAGAAACAAATCCATTCACTAATAATCAGCCTAATTATTACAAAAATGTAAATGAATAAAAATGATTGAGATATGAGTATTGCAATACGAAGTTCTAAATACACAACTTATTTTAGCAACGTTTTTCCTTTAGTTGTTTCTAGTGACGTCAATATTAAACCCTCCTGTTTCGTTAATCTCGTTCTAAGAGTTACAGTTTTGGTTGGGGATATTCCTAATAAATAGAAAATTTCATGGGACGTGTCGTGGAGTTTATGCCTAAGGCATAACTGTAAATATAATAAATCCCTGTACGTGATGCTCCCTGGTTTATTTGCAACTAAAATTTGAAACACAAAATATTGTATTTTCAACACTGAGATGTTCATTTGAACTGGAGAAATGGTTTTCTATTTTTTATCTGAGGTTATTAAATGGGTTTTATAACGTCCAAGTCTCAAGGAAATTTCTCTAGTAATATCAAGGTAGAGGAATGAATATTGTATAACTTTGAAGCCAGTGAACCACAAACTATTGTAGGGTAATTCCTATATAATGTATCTCACAATAACACTTAGAATGTTTCGAAAAACTTTACTCTGGACTGGCTCAATACAGCATTGAGGCTAGTAAGAATAAAACGTTTCGAAACAATACACTGGACAACACAAAATTTGCTTCTGAAGAAAGCTCAAGTGATTCGGGGTAATTAGATTGTGCTGATTTCAAAAGAGTAGTAAAAATTTGTCCATTAGATTTTGAGTTATTGCAATACCTCAATATTTTATCAGCACTGTGTGAGATACCATGCAATCAACTCATTGCAATAAATTTATGCTGTGAAATGAAGTTTATGTGGAAAGTTTAATGGGTAAAAGGCATACATTTTTTTATAACTTCAAACACTGAATGTATTGTATTGGTGTAAAATTCCAAATATATTGTTTAAATATGCTATTTGTTCTTGATATAATTGTAGCAGATTGCACCACTTTTGCTTCATTCCCACGTTCACCTGCTCTACCAGGGAATCACGAGATCATCACGTGCTCAGTTTGCTAGAACATTTGAGAAGTCTCTCGATTGAGCATAAAAGGGGCGGAGTCATACACCTCTCTCTCAGTTGCCTCCCACTCACTCAGTTGGTCACTTCGCCCTTTCTCCGCGCACAATCAAAACAAATTCCAATCTTCTTCCTCGCATTATATCCACGATTTAATCAAATTCTGCAAAACTTTGTTTTTTTATCTTTTAAACTCTATTTCGGAAAAAATAAATTGTTTTATATTTTTGTAGAAAATCATTTGAAATATTGGGTGCTTCCAGTTCAAGTAAAGTCAACAAGTGCAAAAAGTACCCAAACAGTTTTTGCTACATTTGTGGAAAATATATTACAGTTTCACGAAGGGAAAACATCACACATAAAGTAAAGGTAGATTACTACCACTATTTTGGGTGTAAAATTGGTGACCAAGAAAAACATTGGACTCCAAATATGTGTTGTACAGTTTGCACATCTGACTTGACACAGTGACTGAATAAGATGGGTAACTGTTGCTAGGGGTAATTTATGTTGTTTTTGGTAAACTTTTGTTCATTTTCAGTATTTTTGTACTCTTTTAGTCAAAGTATTCTTTGGTTTCAGTTGTATTTTTGTAAATTTATTTTTGTTGCTCCGTGTTATCAGTGTTACTGTGATATTTCAATGAGTATTGTGTATTTAGGTTGTATGTGATACTAAGCTGTTTGCTTTTTCAGCACTGATAGTCCGTTTCCTCACACAACGTTACATTGGTGAATATCGTTCCAATATAGGTAGGTATATACATTCACCTTTCTAGAATATATATAATGCTTAAGCGATTATAGAATTAACAGAGAGAAAAGAACGACATGTAACATCAAATTAAAAATGTGCCAAGTCATCCTTGCGTTTTAAATTTATTAATTCGAAAAATTATTTGCAAGTACGAGTGGTTTTGTTTGTGCTTAACTTCAAACAAATAATTACAGAAAATTAAGAAGCAACGAAAATAATAATCAAAGCCAATTTTTTATCATTATAATGAACCTAACTGTTGAAATGACAACAAGTCAGATTATAAAAGTCTGAAAGTCACGTATCTTTACACACACACACAAAAAAAGGAAACCACCGTCAGAAACAGAGCTATGGTAGATTTAGAAAAATTTATAGGTCTACTATTAACATATATCAGCTCTACATCTAAGCTTTTTCAGGCACTGATAAGTATATTTTACAAGCCTCATAAACAAAGATTATAATTTTATGCATAATTTAGAAACACTAAAATAAGGTTGCTAAGAGAGGAGGATTATTTCATTCAGTATTAAACCTCTACAGTAAAAAAGGGGGAATTAAAATTTATTTAAAATAACTAAATAAATTCCTAATGTATCAATTTCAATCGGAACAAGCTGTATAACTGAAAATATTTATTCAAGTGAAATCAGTAGTTGGTAAGTAAGGATAAATAAAATGTATATGCCATACTACAAAAAGTTATTAATCAATAGTTGGGAAGTAAGGATAAATAAAATGTATATGTCATACTGCAAAAAGTTATTAATCAGTAGTTAGTGAGTAAGGATAAATAAAATGTATATGCCATTCTGCAAAAAGTTATTAATCAATAGTTGGCAAGTAAGGATAAATAAAATGTATATGCCATACTGCAAAAAGTTATTAATCAGTAGTTGGTAAGTAAGGATAAATAAAATGTATATGTCATACTGCAAAAAGTTATTAATCAGTAGTTGGTAAGTAAGGATAAATAAAATGTATATGTCATACTGCAAAAAGTTCTTAATCAGTAGTTGGTAAGTAAGGATAAATAAAATGTATATGTCATACTGCAAAAAGTTCTTAATTAAATGAATATTACTTAATTCATTAAAAAGGCACGTTATTGTTTAGTATATATATATATATGGTCAGTTAACACAACTATATACAGTTTCCTATGTGTCCAGACTTTAGGGACACCCTGTAGTATAGTCAATATTGCCAATCAAATCTCTTTAATTTTCAAAGATCAATCGTAGTTGAATTTTTCTAGTATCTGAATACTTATTATTTTAAATCATTTTGTTTTTATATAAAAGTAAACTGTGAAAACTTCAACTCAAGCCATATTTATCATTTTAAAAGAAGTGTAATATCTGTGTTATCAATGTGCATACAGATCTTTGAAAATGTACAAATAGTTGTTACATCATTGATGTAAATTAGTAAGACCTTACTGATTGATTATTTATGAGGACGTTATTGATTTCTTCGTTTGTTAGGACTACTTTTTTGTGTTAAATGTAATGTCTATAGCACCACTGTATAATTTGTATACTTTCACACTCGTCAATAAAACTGGTTATATCAATATCTTGCCAAAGTTCAGAAACAATCTCATCACGTTGAGAGAACAAATTACGAGGAAACGACTCGTCTATTTGTAGTTTTGGGAACGTTATGAAGACGAATGAATATTTATTTCTTTGGCGTTGTATATTTCGTCAAGAGAGATCTGATGTTCATCCCAAAATTCAGCGCACGTGTAGATTCTTGCATGGCAAGCCTAGATTCAGAAGGAGATTTTTGTAAAACTAGGATTGGCTCCAGTTACACAGTTGTACTTGGCATAATGTTGACAATTTACATTAATTGCCTGTTACTTCCCGTCATCCTTCATTTCAACGCTAAACTTGTCTCCCATGTCGTGACTGAAAGGGGACAGATGTCTTTAACATTTTTGTTACGTCTTTTTTTTTGGGGGGGGGGGAGAAGGGAGCTAGCTGTAATGAATGATTCAATTTTTTTGTTTCACTTCTGATATGTTTTTGAAAGCTACTGTTTAATGTTCTTATTTTCACTAGACCATTATTTCACTGTACCTTCTTCCCATTCTGAAAGTTCTCCACATTATTGATAATAATAATAGTCCTTCAATAGCAATTCTAGTCCCATAGTGCACTCACTTTAGCACGCAAGTCGCACGAGAGCTACAATTACATTAATGATAAAACGTAATTACATTCTTTCCCACATGCTTATTATCTTGTTAAATTCAATAGTTATTTTCTTGAATTGAAAAAGTGATACTCTACTTATGGGTCTTATGCAGTTATACATCTTTTCCTGCCTGCATAAATTGTCGCACTGTGATCTTCACATTAATATTTCATTTAACTATGCCTCTCCTAGTAAGTATTCTATGGACAAATAAAATCATCTGACAACAAATTACTAAAATCTAATAAAGATATTGTCAGTATTGTAGAAGTCTTAATTTGAATTAAGTTTAATACTTTTGTCAGGTTAAATCTACTCGTGGTCTAACTGGCCCGTGAAGCCTTAATAGTTTGCTCATTTGTCTTCGGTCTTTATTTCGTGTGTGGGTGAAGTATTCTGGCGACAATTTTGATTATGTGAGTTTCATTCATTAGTTTTTATCGGTCCTTTATCAACAGCATATAAATGAGCAGGGTATCTAATCTTCCATAAAACAGCCCTTAAAGCAGTAGCAACAAATTATCTCTATTTGTTTTAATATGCTATTAACCAGTCAAGTGTTTCGTTGGGTATGTTTGTTATTTCTCGAGTCGATTTAAGCCATTTCAAGTGAGATTTCATTATGAATTTCATAGTAATAAATTACAAATTTTCAAATAATGTAAAAAAGTTTTACTAATCGTTCAAATAAGATGTTTTTCTTTGTAGTATTTTTCCTAAGGTCGATAAAGCAAAAACAAGTTATTTTACTAAATATGTGTGTGTATATATATATATATAATGGATCTTAATGTGCGATATAATGCACGGACATGATAGGCATGGGAATAATCAGACAAATTAATAAATAATAGTTAAATAAATTGTCCTTATTTTTAGAAAACTTTAAATTTACACACATATATATATATATATACTGCAATCAATAAAACTAAAATCATCCAATTTAAGTTGATGAAAGAATTGAGAGAAATTAATGTAAAAAGTATTATTGAAATGAAATAGACTATAATTAATAAAATAAATAAATTTAGGTTTTAAATAAAACTTATAAACTGAAAAAACAAGGGAATACAAAGATCGATGAAATAAAAGTGCTGAAGATCAAAGTTCATGAGAAACACAACGATGTCATAGACGTTGGTTACCTAAACTACTATACGTTAGAAATGTGTTTATAATTATAGAAGTTGGTTACCTAAACTACTATACGTTAGAAATGTGTTTATAATTATAGAAGTTGGTTACCTAAACTACTATACGTTAGAAATGTGTTTATAATTATAGAAGTTGGTTACCTAAACTACTATACGTTAGAAATGTGTTTATAATTATAGAAGTTGGTTACCTAAACTACTATAGGTTAGAAATGTGTTTATAATTATAAAATCTAATAATTTATAACATAATATAATAGTTTATAATTATAGAACTATTATTATCCTAAGCTACTATAGCTTAAAAATGTGTTTATAATTATCAAATTTAATAATTTATAATATAATAGTTTATAATTATTATAATTATAGAAGTTGGTTACCTTAACTACTATAGCTTAAAAATGTGTTTATAATTATCAAATTTAATAATTTATAATATAATAGTTTATAATTATTATAATTATAGAAGTTGATTACCTTAACTACTATAGGTTAGAAATGTGTTTATAATTATCAAATTTAATAATTTATAATATAATAGTTTATAATTATTATAACCATAGAAGTTGGTTACCTAAACTACTATAGGTTAGAAATGAGTTTATAATTATCAAATTTAATCATTTATAATATAATAGTTTATAATTATTATAATTACAGAAGTTGGTTACTTAAACTACTATAGATTAGAAATGTGTTTATAATTATAGAAGTTGGTTATCTAAACTACTACAGATTAGATATGTCTTTATGACTTTATACTTTGTAAACAGACTAACGTAGTAAATTTTCTAATTCTAAGAATCATGTAAGGCATATAAAAGAGACCGGAGCTAAGAATTTAAAATAGATGTTCGAAAAGTCGAAACCTGTTTTAAGTTTTAATATTACAGCCATTTTATCTGTTTTATATGAATTTTTTATTTTCCTCTGGAATGTCTATTTTAAGTTGTTTAAAAGTTTTACTTTCGACTGTTACAATGTCGTATGCTTGTTTATTATCCGAACTACAGCGTGTGATATGTAATAAGATTGCTATTTATTCGTTTATTTAGACTGGTTGTACAAGCACAGTGTTACGTGTGATGATAGCGTAACTGAAGTCGAGATTTTGGACATTTCTCGCTGGTCGGTACGTATGGAACATTTTGAAATAATTTTTAGTCATTATTACTAGTGGCTGTTGTTCTGTCTTCTATATATTTATGACGTACGTACCTATTTCTGATTACTTACAGGTGGTTAATCAAGAAATGCATTTTTGTTTTGGCCGTTCTGGAAAAAAAGGGGCTGTCGATTAGAAAAATGGTTTTATATTTTTAATTGCACCATATAAAGGATCCCTGAAATATGACTATTGTAATAAAATGCTTTAATAAGTAAAAACCAATAAAAATAAAACATATGCTGAAAAATATTTTAATAGCCTGGTTGTAGGCCAGGATGTTGATATATGTTACAATTAAATGAAAATAGTAGAAAGTTTCCACTGATTTTCAAAACTTTTTAAAACATTTAACAGCTCTGAGATATGATGAGAGGAATCAGAATATTGTGGACATATTTAAGATTATAATTTTGATTTAAAAAATTAGAAATATCTACCAAATTCAGTGTTATACACATAATATTTACAACCTCACTACTATAAAGGCTTGGTTTGGTCCGCTATTTCATTGGTGGTAGTGTCCTGGGTCACTGATGAGGAGTGGAATTTTCCGAAACTAGTCTGGTTCACAAGACACACGCCTAATGAAAGAAGAGACCATTCCAAGCTTTTACTTGTTATTAAACAAATGTTTAAACAACTCTATTGAATACATCCTTGTTATTTAAAGCCCACCCATTAGTTGATACTATCTTAGACTGTCGCTTTTTCTAGTTTTGTATTCTGTTCTAAAATCTATATGTAATTAAACTTTTGCCATTTTAGTTCTACAATGAACTAATTTTAATGATGTAAGTACTAATATTTAGCTTAAATCCTTAATTTGAATACTAAATAATCTGATTTGATTTTTTACTTTAAGTTGTAAATTATTGACTTGTCTTCTTATATTGAAAATAAAATATTTGATCCTTTCTTGAAATGATAAAAATGTAGTTAATATCCTTTCTTCAAACCTTTTTCTTGTATCTTTACCTTAATACAAAATCCTTAGGTTCGATTCTCAAATGGGTAGGAAATTTTAGTTTTAATTTTAAACCATTTTTTAAGGGTAATTGTTTTGTTTGAATCATTCTATTAAAACTTAAACACCTTATTTAGATCCCTTTTTTTACGCATACATTCTTTAACATTATCTTAATTATTATCTTTTTTATTTTAACAATAAGTTTTTAGTTTTAGCTTTGATTCTTACCTTATACAGTAGTTTGATCTTACTTTGATTGCTGTGTTAAACAATAGTTATTTCTTCTTTTGATTCTTACCTTATACAGTAGTTTGATCTTGCTGTAATTGCTATGTTAAACAATGGTTAGTTCTTCTTTTGATTCTTACCTTATACAGTAGTTTGATCTTACTGTAATTGCTATGTTAAACAATGGTTAGTTCTTACTGTAAAGAGTCTTATTTTAGTATCCCTCATATTTTAGAAAGTAAAATTTGTCATAGAATTTTATGTCATTTTCACTGGAATGGGAGATTGATACTGGTGTAGGTGTTTAGATTTCTGACTACAACATCTTAGGAGCGAACTGTGTAATTAAAAAGTGTAATAGGCAGACTAGATTGTTAAGAAACTGAATTAAATCATAAGCTATTTTCAATCATACAAATATAATATTCTAACATTATGTTTTGAAATATCCTGAAATTGTTCAGTCTTTTAAATGGCATAAACGTTAATTCAGAATTAATTAACTCAATATTCAAGACAAAGAACTAATAAACAGTCAGTAGTTAAATATATATTACTGTAATCTCTTAGATTCTCCATGAGAATGTTTTGTAATTGAACATGGACTTTAATTTTTATCCTTAGGACGACTTTCTTCCGACCGACGGAGTCCAATGGGCTGATGCCTGTGTTGTTATTTACAGTATCTGTGACAGAAAAAGTTTTGTTAAAGCTCATGATTATCTTGATGTAATTTATCGTACTAAGGCACCCCATTACACTCCTGTTGTGTTGCTAGGTAACAAAAGAGATCTAGAGCTCGGCCGACAGGTGTCGTTCGAGGATGGAAGTGAACTTTCCACTCAGTACGGTTGTGACTTTGACGAAGTATCCGCAGCAGATAATTATGTCAGAGTTAACGAAGCCTTTTGCAGTCTTATTCGTCAAGTAAGAACTTCTCAACTTCAACAGTCTCTTGTTAGACAAAGAAAGCGGAGCATCATGACAGTTACTAAGATGTTAAGCGCCATGTTTGGGAAGCACTCCAATAAAAATGTAAGAAAAAATACGCAACCATCTTGTTCACTGTAAGAAAAAAAACATACAAGTCATTGACTGCATTGAAACTGTACACCGTTGAACAATCACTACGTTTTTCAAAACGTAAAGTTTGTGTAATTATTCTGAAGATATTTTGTATGATATTGTTTTGCACTAGGAAAAAACCATTTGATTCTAAGATAACTTTGCTTTCGCTTAGAATCTAATTGGTTCGATGAATTATGTGGTATGTGTTCAAGTTAGGGCAACTTTGAGAGCGTTTCATGAACACCAAGTTATATTCAAAAATTTCGAGAACACAATGTTTTTATTTATTGTTCTTGTTATTTACATACCTCCGTCCCAGTGGCACAGCGGTATGTCTGCGAACTTACAACGCT